GCACTAAAAGCCTTCCCCGCTACCATGTGGCTAATAGACAAGTGCAAAAAGGAGACAGAAATACGTGTTTCGCTGCTCTTGTGGGTGACGCATTTGTCGCACTTCCACCTGGGGCTGCTGCTGCTGCTGCAGTTTTCGCAGGCTGCACAGTGTTGCGTCACCTCTTCCTCGAGCACGACAACGGCATCTTCCAACTTGAGAAATCCCCCGTGGCGGACAGATTCGCAGGTCAGGTACAGACGCCTCGTGCTGCTGCTGCTACGGCTGCTGCTGCTCCGTATCGGCGAGACAAAACGAAGGTCGGCGGCAGCAGAACCTGCCGTTGTTGAGATTTGGGTAGTCCCCTCCACAGATAGCTTTCGTGGCCGGTTGGCCACAGGCAGCAGTTGTTCATCTTCAGTGTTTATCTTGCGGCTGCTGGAGTTGCTGCTCGTGTTGCTATCGTTGATACTGCTACTCTTGCTGCTACTGTGGCTGCGGGTAGTCTTTATTTGGACTCGCCTTAAAAGTCGCGGCAAGAGAAAGGAAAGAATGGGAGGCAGGAGTAAGCCAGCTAGTAAGAATAGCACAAAGCACAACAGCGGTGGTAGCAGCAGATGCAGCAGCAACTGCTGCCGCAAGCCGCTAAATGTCATGGCAGAAGCATGGATACGCCACCAACCGATAGGCCTCGTTTATGCTTCCAGATGCCGTCTGCTGCTTGTCCTTGATCATAAGCTGCTTCTGCTACAGCTACTAGTACTCCTGCTGCAGCTACGATTACTCCTGCTACAAGAGCAGGATTAGCAGCTTCCGCCGCTGCTGCTCCTCCTGCCACTGCAGCAGCAGCAGGGGGGCAAGACATGGAGCATGAAGTCATACCCCTACACTTAAGACAAATTCTGGGCAACAGACACAACTAAGGACGGGGTCCTATTGCTGCTGTTGCTGCTGTCGCTGCTGCTAGCTTCAGTGGCATAAGGGCAAGGCCCTACGTCACGTCCTTCGTAGGAACCGACGGCTATACATCTAAACAACTTGAGTCGTACTAGTTCATTGAAGTTGATGAGGCCTCCATACTGCATGCGTAACAGCAGCAGCCGCTGCTGCTGCTCCAGCTGCTGGATGTGTCACTGCTGCTCAGCCGGTGTAGCAGCATAATCAGCTGTTATTGCTCAAGCAGCACTAGCTTTGAGTAAAAAAGATCAGTCTTACTATAAAAAAACGAGGATTGTGTGTGTGACCGTGGACTTCATGCATGCAGCATCACCAGAAGGAGACGTCGCGTGTCTGTCTCCTCATCCCTACGGCTTGTAGCTCCGGGCCTTCCACTGTGTGGAAAAACTGTCATATGCATTAGTCTAGGGTTTAATGTATGGCTGAATTACTAAAGCGTACGCTGGTCATAGGCGCAGTAGAAACAGCAACAGTAGCAGAAACGCTCAAAACCAAAACAGCAATGAGACGTTCCGGCATTGGACATGTTGTCTCATTTGTTGCACATGGACCGGTGAGTACTTCTTGTTGTTGTGGCTGTGGTTTGCTGCTGTTGTCTTGTGCTTCTCTTCCGAGCTGTCGCATAGCGATGCTGTTTGCTGGAGGCTTTCCGTACTGCGGCCTGGTTTTGTCATGCTGTAGCTGTCTGTTCGTGCTCCTGTCTCTTGCCGGGTACGGGATTTGCTGTTGACGTGTGGTACTGCTACTTTCTGTTATTTCCTACTGATTTGGAAACTACTGAGCGTTTCTGCTGTCCCCTTCTTCAGTTAACTGATGTGGCTGCAGCTCCAGAGCTGGCTGCTGCTACCTCTTCAGTGGCCGAGGACGGTAGCACAGTTGCCAAGCACGTACAACTCGACCAGTAACTGACAGCCTAGGTAAAATTCCAGTGGGGGTAGTAGCGAGAGCAGCTGGGGAGGGTGCCTTTATCCAGCGAACAACGTCTAAAGCGGAAGTACGGGATCGCGGGAAATATCCATCTAGGAAGTTTCCTAGTATGTAGAGTACCCTTAAGCTATGGAGACCTCGTGAGTTGGGTGCCTGAGTTGGGTGCCTAACGGGCCCTTCGCTTTTAGAGTCAGTGCATGTTCAGGGCACTGTTTTCATGAGTAACTGGGAGCTGCTGATGCGGCGATTCCAGAGTGAATAATGTTCCCCGTCCCACGCTTAGATGCTACAAAATCTGCCCAAATCAGGTGGAAGAAAAATCATGGAGGGTCCATAGCATATTACGCTTGTCGAGTGGAGAGCGGCCGCAGGAATGCATGAGATGCTAAGCCTCCACTGCGCAAAACTCCGTACGCACTCGTGGTGGTGGAACAAGTAATCACTAACGAGGTTGAAGCTGTCGGCATTGGGGACACAAGCAACAGACTGCGGATTGAAAAAGCTGTGGGGATGGCTTAAGACCAAAGCTTCGACGAACAGTCATTTGCGCGTTGAGCATAAGGTACATGCTTATTAGAAATGAATACCTCAGCAAAGGGGCGCAGATCTAGATATCCCAACAGGCATGCGGCAATAGTGGTAGTGTGGGAAACGCTGCTTCAAGCTGACGTGTTGGTTGCCGCAATTATTTGGGTTTGCAGGAGGGGAATGGCCTGAGGAGGCAAGAGAATCTTCACAGCAAGGAGCTCAAGCAGGTGTCCAAAAGAAAACTAGAAATACTAGTTTTCTTCTGGACGTCTGGTTGGTGGATGAGAAGTGCGGGGAGAAACAAAGCTAGGGAGCAGCCCGCATGGGAATTTCGATTGTATGCCGCAGCGATGAAGAGACCGATTCCGGATACACGGACGACTCCCCGAAATCTGTCGCGCGCCGAGAAAATAGAGCTCGAAGAGTACTTTTCTCTTGCGTGGTGTAAATTAGTGCGGTAAGCTCTGTGACGATCTTCAAGCTACGCATAGCAGCAGGCGAGTCGTCTGCTGGGGCCCTTGAGACCACCCTCATACATGGAACAGTTGTGGATATTCATTCTCCGCATCAATGTTTGCCTTGTCTACTTACTTGCATATTCTGAAGAAAGGGGTCAGTGGCACAGTGCAGCGCAGTATGCAGGTACCTCGAAAAGGCTTGAAAAGTGCAGATTTGCATGGAAGGGGCCGCACACAAACTTGATAGGGGCCAGGTGCAAGCAAGATGGTTTCTTTATATTAGTCCTAACTTTCACTGAGTCATTCTTCGACTTCTTTTATGCACTATTCTTTGTCTGTTTGCTTTTTGCTACCACTGCTCTGTTCAAGCCCAGTCGAGACGCGATGTTCATCGAAAATCTCTGGGCGGCCTTGCAGCTTCACAGTGGCTTCCCTCTAGGCCAGCCACCCCTTCTTGCAAGCACTTGAATTTCAGTTTTTGGCATTTCCTATTTGTAGTATTCCCCCGCAGACGCCATCTACTCCGGTACGAAGCCGTGACGTCCTACTGCGTTCCGCCAAGATGCCAGGTTGACCTCAAACGATGCACGGTTTGGTCATCACCTCATATGCACGTGAATCCTTTGGCAGAAAAGATGAAGATGGACGTCCGCTGCTGCCGCTATTGTCTTCAGCCTATCTCCTGATTTCTATGGTGCCTTCACACCCTCGTGGCAGCAACACTTGTCCCGTAAGTAGACACTTTGTATTCACCAGCATCTTGGCTTGAATATTCTTATAATTTGCCAAAGTTGAATAGGCGCTTCCAACTTCTTCCCTATACGTGAAGAAAACAAGTTCTAGGCATTTGCGCCGTCTTCAGAGCGGTTACGCCGTCTTCAGAGCTTTCATAGCTGGTCTCAGATACGTCTCGCTTCCCTTTCTCTTAGAGGACTGTTGAAGGCCTTGTGAGCTTTTCTGAGTTTGGATGCAGCGACTCAGTAGGAGCCAAAGGAGCCAGTCTCCCCGCTTCTCCACAAGCCACCCGGAAAAATATCAGTCTGTGCCTGTTCTGGAGCAACCGGGGTCTGGGCGGCCTATTTCACGCGTAATACGCTTTTCTGCATTTCTTACGTGTGCTTTGGGCTTCATAGATCTGCGAATAACGTCCAGTTGCCGCTCTGCAACTTCTGCGGTTGTCCCCAGGGGATTCAGCACGCCAAACTGCCGATGGACGCACTTGCTCACACATCTTTTGTATAATAGCTAGCCACCAGAATTGTGTATCGTTGGATCACCAGTAAGTACGAGCACAACACTGCACACTGTTCCGGTCATGGAGGCGTTGGTCTTCAACTCAGTTGTACACATGCAGAAGGCGATAATTGAGCAATGCCACTGCTCTTCTGGTTCCCTTCTTCTGGCAAAATATTGAGTGGAAACTTCGTACTCTGTATGCAAAAGCAGCTTGCATCTGTTGACCAGTCTTCTTGGTGCGGTCAGCATCAAGGAAAACATGTCACGTTCTGTGAGTCTGCATCATCTTTAAGGAACTCAAGTCCGGAATACGCGGGTAGCAGTTATTTCGTTGTTGCCTTGAAGGCAACAAAAAATGCAAAACACTAGGCGGAAGCAGATGCGCACTGGATACTGCTTGGCCGATTAAGCGGAATTTTCGGTCTACCGACAATAGGCATATATAGACCTGAAAGAACCCGAAAGCCTCTTGGTTTTCGGTACAATGTGTGGCACGTCACAAAATGGCACAGGTACATCACAAGCAACAATTCATCCCAGCAAATACCGGAAACCGATAGTACCAAAAGGTGACGCCTAGAAGGACTTGTGTGAGTTTCCTATTACAAATCGACGTTTTATAGCATGCCTGTGACGTGACGTCATTGCTCAACTTGGAAGCGTAACGTTCCACGCCAGCTATGCCTGAGTCAATACAGATGTTTAAAGTTGCCGGCCACATGAAACCAAACGGATAAGGCTGATTGGCTTCTGTTCCTAAATTTCGGTAGGCGGGAAAGCTTAAGGGAAAAAATTAGGCAAAAGCTGGCTTAAGACGATTTCGACATTCCCAGCCAGCAGCTGTGGATGAAAAGCTGCCAGCAATACCTAGACCGAAGTCTAGTTTAGCCTGTGCTGGATGAGAAGGCCTACAACTCACTGATAAGCCGAAACTTCCTCTCGCACCCCCTCACATTCATCCCGTGATAATGTTGTCAGCATTTCCTTCAATTCGTTCTGAATGACAGCGCACCATTTACAGGAGAACGGCCTAGAATGTGCATCCTCTATTGTTTTCCGTTGCAGTCAAAGACAAGGCATGCGGAGTTGACATACCCCAAGGTCCATCTGATTGCTCCAATCCCTTTGAAGCAGTCTTCGTAGAAGCTTCGCCAGGGATAGTCTGTGTGAAAACATGCGGAGCTAAGATGCAGCCTGCCGACTGAAGCTTTATAAAGTGATCGAGCGAGGTGTATTCATTACGCAAAAGACATTACGTGAGCTGAGCATGCTGGTGTCCGTGACCAATAAAGGTGCTAGCTAATATGACAAACCTGCAGCATGGTGCCTGGTCTTCTACTAAGGTCTGCAGCAAAGGTATTACTAAGATGCGGAGTCTTTCATTTGGGAAATATTCCCATATTTGCTGCAACAAGCAAACAAGTGTGCCAGTTGGATTTAACGACGGCCTAGAAACACTGCTTCAAAATTCTACGCCAGCAGCATGGAGCTGTGAAGTACGTACTGCTACAGGCAACTCCACTGCATAGAAATCCTACGTGAAGGTAGAATGCCACATCTTGGCGGATAAATGCGTTCTTGCACGACGCGACCTCCCGAAGAGCTCGTAGAAGGCGCTGCTCCAGAACTGAATCAGCAGGGATCTTTGCTGCTTGGCGTCGGTGTTCGCTCTGTCGAACAGGAGACCACCGGAGCAGCCATGCATGAATGAGTTATTCTCGTGCCTGACCAAAGCCCTAAGTGCTTGCTGGTGTGCCCTTTAGCATATGCCTTGGGTATGTGACTCACTTCTAGCACAGACCGCAGCGCAAAACCAGCTTCCTGCCGGACTGCCCATGCTGCAATGTACGCACGCCCAGAAAAAACATGCGAATACACACACACACACACACACAGACACACATACACACACACACACACCACACAAATACGAAATGATTTAAAGCCCAGTCTACAGAAACAAAACTTATTTTGCACTTCAAAAAATTCCCACAGAAATACTGTAACATCTGGACCTCTTCTGAGTAGGCACAAGTGAAGTATGATGTAATACTCAGGTCTGTATGCGGGCAACTGGCGCTGTGCTTCATGCTCGCCTGATTCCTTATATTAATGCTTTTCTCACCTGGGTTCAGGAGCAAGCCGGTAAAGAGTTGCCACCACTTCTCGTCTTCCTGCTTCTTGATGCACAGTCAGAGGAATACAAAATAATTCGACAGCCAAGTCGAGGGCATAGCACGCATAACAGTATTGGTGACGTAGCAGAGCATGAACTGAGCACCTTTTAACTGTAAATTAGCACGCATTGAGTGCTTTGAAGAAAGACGAGCTCACCACGGCATTCAGGATCACGGGGAGCTGCTGAGCTAGGGCTGCGTGAATTCGCCAGCAGTCATCTCCTTCCTCATCTGTGGCAAACTGGCTACTTGAGATGAGCGGGGACTGCAGGCATTGACACGCAAAACAGTGATCAAGACGAGTACATTCTGAGTTCGGAGCTGCAATGGTTGTTCAGCTACGAGCCGCGTCTGCGAGCCTAGAGTGGTCCGTCACTTACGACAAATACGATCTCTTCTGCTGTGAGAGAACACAAATTTCCTAAAAATGCAAGTTTTAGTTTCCAGCTTCCCTGCCTGCAGACACGTCCACTCAAAAACCAATGACGGCTTCCCAAACCTGGGGAATCAGCGCTATTACTTATTCACTTTGATGGGCTGCGTCGCACAGCAGCATCGGAGGACTCACTGAATCAGTTCTACTGCAAGTTCTAGAAATGCACGCCTCTGGGGTTCAACGGACAAAGGAATGATGGAAATCAGTGCGTCGAGGCATGCGCCTAAAAAGAGCCGCAAGGCGAGCAGTCGAAACCCTGAGCCATAGTCTACTGTGAAAGCATTCTGACGCAATTTTTATACTGCGTGCAGTAAAAATCAGTTTCTTTGATGAATGACGCATACGGGAGCCAATCACCTGCTAATCGAGATCCCTGACTTTTACAGCCGTCCTCAGCTATTCGACTAAGTTCCAGCATCCAAGACTCACGCACGAATGAAGTACTCCCGACTAGCTGAACAAAGCACAACTTTAGAACATGCCTTCAACAGCAGCCTTTCCCTCGCACTGGCTTTGTCTTACCTACAGGAAATTGCTAGCAGACGTTTAGCATCAATGCCGTAGCTTCAGAGACGACAGCGCCGCAAGAGCAGTGGGACCATCTCACCTCTGCCATTTGTGGAAGGACGTGCAAAGCTGCCATCTTGACCATTGGCTGCGACACAGCGGCGCGTAATTCTTGATGCGCCGCTGTGGAATTTTCTGTCGTATGGTGCAATGCGTATCCTTAAAGGAAATGCAGCAAAATTTGGCCTGCCCTGCTCTTCTCTCCCAGGCTTTCGGAGTTGCGGTTCAGCGATTCAACGACACTCACAGATCGATCAGTAAGAAATTTAAAGAGCAAAGATGTCATGCCTGTCATAGCAGCGGTCTCCTTTGCTTCAGCAGTTACGCCATGCGTTAGACCGCAGAAAAGAAGGGAAATATCTTTCAGTGCAAGGCACACAGTTGCTCGAACCCGCCACGAGGAGTCGCCTGCATATTTCAGTAGCACATATAGGGGGCAGCAGAAAAGCAGATATTGAAAAAGGCCTGTGCTGTCGGTTTCGTGCTTTTATGTACCGTAGGGCTATTATATGAAATCGTGCCCTCACTGCAAAGCACTGGTAAAAAGTTGTTCCCAAGTGCTCGGAATGCTGCAGCGTGTCTTCGAGCCATTGCTGCTACCGCTCCAACCCCCTGCATCCTGCAGCTTTCCTGCGCGTACACAATGATATAGGTATCTTGAGCAGCTTCTCAACTACGCTGCAGATGTCAATACTAAGGGATGGACGTGGTCAACGCCTCGCTGGCAAACTTCCATGTACCACCGAGGAGGATTACTCAGCAACTTACGTGTATGGATAACGTAAACTTTTGGGTTGCTGTGTAGACAGCAATCATCAGCTCTCCAATTTGTTTCTCTCCTGTAGCAGAGCCTCCCTCTGCGACGCCACTAGCGGTGTCGTGGATCGGCGACAATTGCTGCAACCCATCCACTTCTGCTGCAATGCAATCCACAAAGGTGGGCAGCTGCTGGCCAGCTGCAAGCTGAACAGAGCAATCCTTGTCTCCACACAGCCTGACGTATGAAGTAAGCAGCCGTTGTTTCAAGTCCGCTAGTGCTTCAAAAGCTCTGGACTCCTCCATTGTCCGTTTCTCTGGGTCTTTTGCGTGTTTTGCGTCAATGTTTGACATGCATCGACGTATGGACTGAAGTAGAGTGGGTATTAGTGATGCAGCCGCTAGGCGGAAAGCAGCTTGCTTTTCTTCGCTCAGCTCTAAAACTCGCAGTGCCACTTCGGTCCTCAGGAGATCCGCATGGTTACACCTTGAAATGAAGGCGGTGAAGGCCTGCAGTGCAGCTGCTTTTAGCTCCTTGCTTCTGTGAAGCATAATTCGAAGCAGCAGGCTTGATATCATGCCGATTTCTTTGCCTGCCCAGAGGTACTTGGAGCCCCCATTCCCATCATTTAGCGCTTCAGATAGCTCGAAGAACTTCCCAATTTCGTCACATAGTGCGATCAAGACTTCTTCATCATCTTCACCTACTTCAAATTCTGCAGACGAAAATAAATTGATCGGCGAATATGAAATTCTTGCAACGACTCTGACAAGTGCTGTATGTAAATCACTGACAACTTTGTCCAAAAGGCAGTAAACCAAGCGGAAACATTCAGTAGCCCACCAGATTCAGCGCATACATAAACGAGGAAAGTGGAAAGTCACACGGAGCATCTGCAATAGGGTATTAGTACAGCCGCAACTAGAGCAATCCGTTGAATCTGTCGCGCGCCTTTGGGCTACACCGAACGTTTTTCATGTTGGATGACTGGTGAAACGGACCTTGCAGGAACAAGAGAAACTCTTCAACTGCGCTTCCAAGAGCATCAAAAATGCGACGAATGTTCAGGCATCCGCGTTTTCGCACCTGAGATACATATTTGAGGGATAGGACAGAGAGAAAAGGGCTGACAAAGCTTGGTGGAAACAGCTTCACTGGCAACAGACACCACAGCTACTTCATACTCGGACAGATTGCGTGCCTTGGCTGATTCGCTCAGGAAGTCTTTGACAAACAGCGCAACGTTCTGGTCCAGCTGATCATCGTGGTCCCCATTTGGGCTGCAACCTGGGCTCTTCCGCAGCCCTGAACCTGATGTTGGGTCGCCGCAGAATGACGTTGTTGAGTCTTCCGCCTTTAGGTGGGTACACGGCGGGTTAATAGTTCCGCGTCTAAATAACAAGTCCCTGTATATGCCATGCCAATCCATGCTTTCATGATTTGGACTGCTATATTTGGCGCTCTCGGGCACTGACTTGCGCGCAAGGACATAATGAGTCTCTGTTGCCATATTTACGAGCCAGCCAAGCCCTTGTTCAGTACCCAACAGACATGCCAAGAAGAAGGATGAATGCTGCAGCCAGCGTAGCAAAGTTGAGGCGAGATTACAGCCTCGCAATAAAGCCGCGCGTGTTCAGGCCTACAACTGTGAGGCGGCTTTGCAGCTTTGCACGCACTTCTCACTATGGGCACCGCGCAGTGGGCTGGAGGAAGGGGCTCTGCATGTTACCCCCGAACAGTTGCTGCTAATGCGACCAGACGCCTGGTTCATCGACACAACAAGCCAAGGCGCTGATTGCTATCTCTCTGAGTAGTTTGCCCGTGGCCGAGCCGGAGAGGTACGTCCTCGTAGTCTCAAACGGCTGCCATCCACTTGTAAACCCGATTCTTTCCACAAAAAGTTCATAGGATTCGTTGAGAAATTTCCTCCTGAGTTGCCCCTATCATGGGACTCACCGCTGCCGACAGGGTATTACGCACCACCTGTGAGGTCCTTGCTGCAATGCGTAGAAACAGAATACTCCTGAAATCCGACATGATGGGCCAGCATGAGCTAAAAAATTAATTTGAGACAGAACTGTGGGCACTTCTTTGTATTATTGGAAATCAGCCCCACCTCAAACCCGACTGAAGGGTGGGTCAACCGCTGCAGCGTGTTATTGGAGGAGCGCGCCTAGATTACTCTCAATAACACCAAAATTGTTCAACTTCTGCGTTTTGTTCTTCTGCATTCGTTTACACGGAGATTTGGCTTCTGGGTGGACCTCCCGCAGTTCACAATTCGCTAAGGGCGCCACCATTACTCACTTCGCCGTGATCCCGACTTACGGCATTCTGTTACGCTTCTCACTTTACAAGTTTACTACATGCGTATTCTAACTATAGCTTAGCTGGTACGGAAGTAGCTTCCACACGATCTTTTTCATGAGAGATCTGCTTAGGGCTTCAACTTCGGAAGTTGTCGCTTGCCCACCGTAGACACCAAAGCATTGCAATTGCCATTGGAGTGGCTGCTTCAAGAGCATTGTCTTTTGCCCTGCTGCTGCAAGCGTAGGTTTGGCAGAGTTTGTGCCTAGGATCATCTTGCCGAATGACATTTGCCAAGTTCTGCATCTGTTGACAGGAAACAGGAGGGAGGTTGCTCTCCCCAAGCCAGAAACTCGTAACCGCGCGGGATTTCGCTGTAAGGCGGGTAACATTTTTTCTTTTAGCGCTTTTTTGGTAATTAGAAACTCCGAAAGCCCCGATGAACTGTGAAGTGGCGCAGGTTGCTGCTGAAACGCTCCCGACACACGGACGACTCCCGGAAATCTGACGCGCGCCGGGAAAATGATGCGCGCAGGATACTTTTGTCTTGCGCCGTGCAGGCCAGCTTGGTAAAATTTCCTGTGACAATCATCGTGCGGCGCGTACTGAATTTCGCGTGTTCTCTTTCCATATCAGTATTTCCAGAGACAGCATTTGGTTTATATAGGGGTGAGCACCACTTGTTATCGCCGTTTCAATCGGCAGCACGCTTCCTCCATCATTCATCTGCACAAACATGTATGCGCATCAAGAAAAGATGCCCTTTCCTGGTCCACACACAATGGACGCAGATGTAATCTTGGTCTTCAGGCTCTGTATAATGCTGCCATGGCCCTTAGCAGGAGTGATCTTAAACAGCCGGTTCACCTTCTCGATCTGCTCATTCAAGCGTAATTCCTTCTGAGTAGTCATGTGTTACTAAAAAAGGCCAAAAATGGGTTTCCTACGCGTTGGATTCGCAGGAGGAAGCCAAAGATCAGTAGACGCATTTCTGTTAAGAAGTTGCATCATGGCTGGAGTCTAGGCCACCCCTGAAAACGCTAAGTGTACAAACCTGCAGTAGCATACTCAGGAAACCAAGCTCAGAATGTGACTAGATCTTGCAAGCTTCGCATTTGGGCCTGGATTTTGGTGCATCTATTCCGTTGTTACTGCATTTCGAAGCCATCAGCTTTCTTAAATAAGGGACTATCTTTATTTTGGTGTTTACATTTCTCATAAGCGAATCTACAATTGTGTCAAAGATAAGATGCTATAGGGAGCAACGCAGGAGCAAGCTTGCTCTGGTGTACTACGTGGGTGGCCCCCGCTAGGGCCTATTGCTTGCGTGTCGTGTGCTTCCAGTCTCAACAAAATCTTTGTATGCCACGCTGAAACTTTACTCACTCAATTTTAGCGCACAATTCGCTATTCCTCCTATGTTCATAAGTGCAGTGCAGCGACATTTATACAAGTTTACAGCGTAACAAGTTCACAACGTAAGGCCGAAAATCCTGTAGCAACAGCATGGCCCAAAAATCGTACCATCAGATTCCACATCGGCACTTATATGTCTGGCGCTGTTTATTTTGCCTTCGTACATGCTATGTACATCAGAACATGGTCAAGTGATAATGCCTTCGGTTTCACCATACGAGCACACCTCACGACCAAAGTGCACGGTTATATCAAGGATTCGGCGTGCTTTTAGTAAAATACATTATAAAGTGGTCTCTTATCAAGGAATAGAATCGATAGGGTGGCTGTGTCTGATGCATTTGTGGATCGCACCCGTGCCGATCACTCGTTAAACCAGGCAGGTAAGAGTCACCGACCACAATCGTTCCAACAAGAATCTGCAATATTCAAAGCAAGCCCCGCCTACTTAAAATACATCATTTCCCGCACCTTGTTTGAGAATGATAAGTGGTAAGGAGGGCGTTGCCCTTTCTCCAGCGCAGCAAGGCTCTCTCTGGGGTTCTTCTGTTTTGGCCTTCAGCTAGTGGCCTTTTGAAGGTAAAACAACACTGTGGGAAGCACCTAGTAGCGTATGGCCTTCCGTAATGTATGCTCTTGCCGTGGAAAAACATCTTTCATCCACAGTAGGGAGCTGCTAGCCTTGGGGACAAGAAGTGGCTACGCTCCTACTCACTTACAGTAGGAAAATGCAGACTGGCACGTCTTACTCGAAGAAAGCAACTTCTTATCTGTAGCTCAATCCTGATAGATTGCATAGATAAGATTTCGATGGTTTTTAGCTCTTGTTTCGCAGGCGATAAAGTAGTGCACCAGAGAAAAGCAATGAGCTGGTAACAGCCGGCGTTCAGAATGGGTGACCATCTAAAACCAAAAGCACCCACATGGAGATGTGAGCTCCCTCAAGTCGATGAATATTTCTCCATACAGTTGCATAGCCACTCATAAGCTACCGCCCTTTACACTCTCCCCAGGATGCAAACTGCGGCCCTCCTATGAAATACGTGTCGCTTCAGCTGCCCATACTTTACGAAGCCTTCTGAACGCCTACCCGCTCGCTAGATATTTCAGTTATTCGAGTTTGTATATGTCGGTTCAGCCTGTTCCTCATTACAAGCGAGAGCTTTCGGTGAAGGGAATTAGGTCCCATAATGATCGGCGCGTTGAGGTTCCTCAACGCGCCGATATGCACCCAGCCCCAATTTTCTAAGATTTATAATTGAGTTTTAAAGGATCCCATAAAATGATCTGGTGATTCTTACGAGATATACTAAAATTTCCTGTGAGAAGCGTTGCTGACGCATATGAGCAGCACTCATGGCTAACGGAGAACGCGTTCAGTACTGGTTTTGGGGACGACAAGTGACGGCCACAGCTAAGGGGAAGCGCAACTAATCGTCACTGTAGTGAAGAACACCAAATTCCTCTGAAATAACAGCCGCTAGCCCGCAACAGTTCATCGTGAACACACTACATCCCTCTATAAAGACCACTGCAACCCACCACAGCAATTCGCTGTTAATGCGCCGCATTTCCCCTCAGAAGCCACTCCAATACACCACAACAATTCGCCGTGGATGCAATAATTATCGTTGCATTTCCCTGTAAAGACCACCCTGCTAGACGGCAATCCCCTGCGACGGCCCCCAAACATAGCATAGACATACTGGAGAAATTAATCAAGCTGTTAGCTTCTTAGCACTTCGGAAAGAGCAGCACACTATGAACTACTAGTAAGCAGAACTCGGGCTCGCTTCCACTCACATATGTACTCGATACCTTTTCTTCACGGCAATCTGGCATCAGCTGCGGTAGACGCAAGGTGCATACAGGCTGAACGTAGTGGGCTGCTTGCGACATCAGAATGCTATGACAATAAAACTATGTAAGACTTTCGGTGTGAAGCTTGCAGGGAAGTGTAAGGTCCAGATGCAGTATTGATCTAGTCGGGCGAAAAGCATGCCAAATGCCCAAGACAAAGCACAAGGCTTGTGTTCCTCGCGCTCGGCCGTTGTCTCAATTGGAGCCTGTTAAGCATTATAAAGCCTTCTTAGAATTAAGCAAAGCTGTTTGAGGTTACGTAGTGTGGCGGAACGTTTGGTGCCTCACCCAGCGCAACGGCGACGACATAACCAACACCAGCTGCCCCTTGCGGTGCCCCACAGACGCTGAAGGCACAAAGGGAGACCCCTGCGCCCCCAAGCCTAGTTTTCACACGCTTTTTTCCTTTTTTATTCTCAAGTTGGTTCTCTCCTTTCTCCAAGGAGGCAAATTAGGGCCGGGCTGCGACTCCCCGCACCAGCACCAGGCGGTGGCCCCACTCTCTAGTTGCAGCGGTGTCCTTACTGTCCTTTTCGTTTTATAGATCTGTCGACCACGCTCCAGAGCTCTTTACTAGATAATCAAGATGTTCTTCAGTGGCTTTCCCTTTGGGGAAGACCTTCCCGGGCATGGCAGGCCTCGGGGGCCGCCCAAGGAAAGGAACACAACTAAGTTCTACGAGCTCCTGGAAGTAGATAAAAACGCCTCATTGCAAGGTCAGACTTATTGGGATATTGTGAATACTCTCAGAGCCCTGCGGTGCTGTAGCAGTGACAGAAGAGTAGTGGGCAGATGTGGCAGAAGACTGCATTGATTCTACCAGCGTCGCCACTAGTTTTATCTTTTTCTCAATCACTACCAAGTAGGCATATATGAGCGGGTAGCAACCAAAGTGAATGTGAAGGGCAGCGAATCTTTCACTGAAAGCATTCGTCCAAACGCTAGCTGCACAGTGCAAAGTTAACAGCAGGCACCATGCTCTATATGGCTCTGGTACAAAACGTGGCACTCTCTCAAGTCCACAAGGAGCTCCTTTAGAAATGAGAAGTATAAAGTATATCGTTCAACTGTCTTCTTGTTTCTGCGCTGGAGGCGACCAGGGTGGCGAAAGCAGCATTTTTCATTCGCGGGGTCCGATTTCTGAGCTTGGCTCTGTCTTTAACTGCAGACATTAAGAAGGCCTACCGGAAGCTTGCAATAAAACACCACCCGGACAAGGGCGGCGATCCCGAGAAATTCAAAGAGATATCCAGGGCGTGAGCAGCTTGCATCTTGCCACCACAGATGGCTCTTTGCAGGTGGTTGCGCGGCTTAAGGCCACTGCCTAGAGGGGCCTCGCAGTTTGTTTCACTCGCCTCCTCATTGTTCTTTTGCTTTTGTCTACCTCTTTAAGGTATTCTTGATTCATTTTTCGCTATGCTTGCAGCTACGAAGTGTTGAGTGACCCGGAGAAGAAGAGCGTTTATGACGAATTAGGTGAGGAAGGGCTCGAGGGCGGGGGAGCGGAGACGGACCCATCGGACATTTTTGACCTATTCTTTGGGGGTAGAAGGCCAGGCAGGCAACAAAGCAAGAAGAAGGGTGAAGACATCGTTAGCCCAATCAAGGTCACTCTTGAACAGGTATCGACCAGGCGGTGGTCACAAGCTTCAAACGTTATTAACGTGAAATACTTCGGGAGGTTCCGCAGACTACCGCGCATCTGAATGAGGGACATGACAGGTCTGCCTTCCGGTTTGCATCGGGTTTTTGGTGTGGGCAGATATATAATGGCGCTCCTCGCCGGATGGCTATCAACAAGGATGTCATATGCAAGGATTGCGAAGGGAGGGGAGGGCCTGCTGATGCTTTCATCACCTGTAAAGAGTGTGATGGGTCTGGCGTCAAAGTTATGGTATGTTTGGCCAGTAACACGTGCTTCTGATTCTTATATTGCCTCTCGTTGCTTCGTTGGGGGGTTCTGGAAGCTACGTCGATGTATTCAGTGTTGTTGCCGTATGGTTTGCGAAGCGTTTGGCTGGTGCCGTCGTGTGATTTTCGTAAAGTAGAGCTTGGCCGGGGCTTCCGGTTTCTGTCGCTCTTGCAGATCCGTCATCTGGGTCCTATGATCCAGCAGACGCAGGGGATGTGCGCAAGTTGCAAAGGCCAAGGGCGGAGTATCGAGCCGTCAAAGCGCTGCAAAACGTGTGGGGGCAAGGGGGTCTGCAAGGAGCGTAAGATACTTCAGATCTTTATTGAGAAGGGTGAGTGTGAATGTGGAGATACCGACGTATTAAGGTGCGCTGTCGGCTGTAGGTGCCCGAACAGTCAGACGGATCTGCCAAGGAAGCTTGCGTTAAGCAACAGCTTCGGCAGAGTTAGTGTGGTCTTCCGTGTTTACGCAGGTGTGAAGAATCACCACAAGATTGCTTTCAGGGGCGAGGCTGACGAACGACCAGGTGAAATTCCAGGAGATGTTGTTCTTGTTGTGGAGCAGCAGGCAAGTACTGAGAAAAATTCAGGATTTGTGTTTTTTCCATGGCAACCGTTTTGGCGGAATCATGGCAGACGATGGGGTTGCCTTACTGCGGTTGGTGATTGTTTTTGCTCATTGGAGAACGAGTTTTTGTATTTCCCCGTCATACAGGAACACGAACTATTTAAGCGTCGCGGGAATGACCTGTTCATGACAAAAAAGATAACTCTATACGAAGCTCTTTGCGGCTTCAAGTTTCTTCTCACTCATTTGGACGGTCGACAGCTCTTGATCCAGGTAAGAGCCTGCTTAAGCACGTCTACTGACAGCTTCGTAAAGCCGAACAGCCGCGGGCCTAATTGGCGTCTGTCTGCTTTGTTAGATCTACGCTGCCGCGGCTCGCGAAGACTGATAGGGTTCCTGCCAGTTCCACTGCCTCGTGCTTTATTTCATAGGCAGCTAGGAGCTGTTCCCTAACGGCAAAAAAGGCCCCCGACAAATCCTATGAACGCCCTTTGCCTTTTATTTACTTTCATGCAACGCGAAGAAGTAGATTGACGTAGCGTATTTTTTGAGATTGCGTACCTTCGACATACTGACGTTGGAATGAGGTTATGCGGGTGCTGAGCGATGTCCGTTTAGGGGAACCCAGGAGAAGTCGTAAAGCCGGACTCCGTCATGTGCGTTAAGGGAGAGGGAATGCCAAACCACAAGAACCCCTTTATTCACGGTATGTACGGACTCTGTTGTACGTACGCTAGCACGACCGCTGGGAGTCTCGATTGCCCGTTGTGTTTTGCCACATTCGTTGTTGCGGAGTTGTCAATGCTGCTTTGGTTTCGCAGGAGAGTTGTATATTGTGTTTGACGTCGAGTTTCCCCAAAAAGTACCTGAATCTCTGCATGCGAAGTTCCGGGAGATTCTTCCACAGCCAGAGGACACCCCTATGGTAAGGAGACATGCATTTCATTTGTAGCGGAGCCAATTATCAGCTGCTGTAGTTCACGGGGTTGCCTTGACATGCTGCAACCCACAATTGATCAGAGAGTGCAGTAGCGAGTTTCACCTGTCAGCTTTCTTCATGCGTAGGTCGACGAAGATGATCCGAAGATCGAGCATCACGTATGCGAAGGTGTGACAGCTGAGGAGTTGCGCGCTCGGCAGCAGCAGCAGCGGACGCAGGGCTCTGGAGAAGCGTATGAAGAAGACGAAGACGAGGGCCACGCAGCGGGTGCACAGAGGGTACAGTGCCGTCAGCAGTAGTCGCCCCCATAGGTCTTACTGGGAGTCCGGCGCTTCTGTTGCTTTGTCTTGAGTCAGTCAGCTGCGCTCCCCTTTGGGTCCGCTACCGCTACGTCAAGTACCGCAATTGCTTGGCAAAGGCGATGCTGGCTTATGTGAAGGCGCGTGAGGTGCAGTTGTGCTTTTCATAAGGGGCGTTTCTGTGGTTCGGGATGCCGTAGAGGGGCCATTGCTTCTTCGGTAGTTACCGTTGCGACTGTTGAAGCAGCAGACGCCAGCACTAGTGCTGCTGCAAGCAGCTGGCCTTCGAATGCGGGCAGCATCAAAACAGTTGGCGTTGCATAGCGGCGAAAGCCCGAAAGCAAATTAACGGCAGGGGGCTTTTGCCTGAATAGACTTCCTTTTCGCCTACTGGAGTGTACTATGTTACAGCACATAGAAGGCAGGTTGCCCGTGAAAACACAAAGTTGGCCATTGCGGAGTAGTGCGGGTTACGCTGCATAGCACAGCAGGTGCTGTATCAAGTCTGTTTTGCATTTCAGTAGATTCTGGCTGATGTACGGCGCCGGTCTGTTTAAACAGTAGATCGCCCGCAGTGCTAGCGAAAGAAAGCGATTGAGAATCGTGCCACGTAGTGCGTCTTAGATGTATTCCAATTGTGGTGTGGCGTTCTTCACTTGGCCAGCCAGCGAGTTCGGGTAGGTGACGTTGCTACCGGTGTACTAGGAGGCAGAAACTGTCCCTCAACAACCGAACTACTCATTTCATGAGTAATTGGGTTGTTTAGGGATAGTTTCTGCCGGAGAACTCGTGTAAAGGCGTGAGGATCTTTTGCACCAGCGTTTATGTGCAAGCAATGCTGCCATGGGGAAGGGGTCGGATCTGAAGGAGCCGGGAAGTGCATCGCCCTGAAACTCTATAGACAGTTTAGCCAAGCGTCCCAGGCTCAGAACGCTAGTGGCAGCCGTCGGAGTGCTGAAGGATGTGCTCTTCTTACCAGCTTGAACCACATGAGTGTCAGTTGCTAGCGTGGGGATACTGATCGAACAGATGCTCCAATGCTGCGTGCGTGCTGATCCTATTGCTGGGCAGCTCCAACGTGGGTTGCCCCTGTAGCGCTCTAGACAACTGAACTGCAGCAAAGCTCAGCAAACCCCTCACCCTGCTTGCTCTACTGGAAAAGGAAATCGCCGTGAGGCCGTCTGCATGACGAGAGAGCTAATCTCTCGTCTTACTAACTTAATTGGCCGAGACAGAACCCATGTGACGGCTCGTCAGCCACCACATGGGGTGTTGGAAACACTCCGATTTTTGGTATCTGTATGAACACAACGGAACATCCGACACACTGTTGCATACGAGGCAGCAGTTACTACAAAACGCAGTTGCCGGCAAGGCGATGGCGCTCAAAGGTTCATTGTTGTTTCCAGCGCAGCCGCATGGCGCTATAGGCAAAAATCTCCTATGGCCCGTGGCCATCCTCAGTGTGTCAAGCTGTTCGCTCCTGTCAATGAAGAGCAGGTCCAGCACGGATTACCTTTTGCCTGCTACCTCAGCTGTAGATCAAAAGGGTTCTATTGCCTCCTATATTTTGTGAACACCGATTTACTAATCGAAAATCAGCAGTTCAAGTTAAATTCGTTATACTGTTCTCCTTGCTTGCCTTCCTCTTGTCCCCCTGCCCGTTCTTTCTGTTCTGCCTGCCTGATTTTCCTTGTTTCCCCTTTTGGCCGCCAGCATTTCATTCTTTTATCCTCCTTATTCTTTGCGTAGCTGTCGAAATACATTTGCTTTGTTCTTCCGTACCGTTCGGAACTTCGTAACTTTGTGCCCCAGGCACAGTCGCCGCTACTGCGGAATGGCTGGCTTTGTAAGAAGCCTCGCTTTCATGACCACAACACACTGACCTCGCTGTACTAACATTCTTTCTGGGCCCCTTATGCTCTTTTTAGAAATTCCTGGAGTAGCATTCTCAGCTTCGGCCTCATACAGCTCGCTTGCACTACTGTGCGCCCCTCCGTTCTTGGGCTACGACGCCAGAATGCACATTACACGGCTACAGTAAGTCCCATACCAACCAGTTCTATTCTATGCGTTTATCTAGCACATGCATTCAGAACAAATGGGCGAGATGAAGCTTCAAGTTGCTGACAGGTTGCTTGCAGTGAAGCAACTCAGAAAAAATACAATGCAAACGCGTATCTGTATAGAAAAATTTCTCTTTCTGCAGTCACCTCCGGTGTTTACGAGACACTTTCTTATCATGTTTGCCGCTGCTGTTGTTCGTCTTACTGGTCTGTTTCTTCCTATCGCTTTTGCTGTGATGGCGTTTAGTCTTCGTCTCTCTGCCGTTTCGCTCGCTCAACACAATTCCAGGAGGTGGATCTGTGAGGCCCACCTGTTCCGGCGGTGCCTTCTCAGCCTCTTGTGGCTGTGTGTTTTCCATTTCTGACTCTGTTCCCACGACCTCTTCCTCTTCTGAGGCACTGCCAGTGTCTTCATTAGCATCGTCTCCTTCACTTTCAACTTCTTCGCTGCCGCTACTGTTGCTACTCCTGCTTCTGCTACTGCTCCTGCTAGCGCTTTCACTGCTGCCGCTGCTATTTACTACAGAAACCGCATCTTCAGTTTTGTCCCCTTCTTTGCCTGCTTCTACGCCGTCCACGATGTCACGACTACCAGATGCACATGCTTTCGTGTCTTTCGCTGTTGGCACTGCTGAGTCATCTGCTACAGCCGTTGGCTCCTTCCTTTTGTGGGACTGCCGACTGCTCTTCCTGTCGCTCCTGCTGCTGCGGCTGCTGCGGCTGCCGCTCATACTTTTCTTTCTGCCATCCAGCGAACTCGAACTGTCTCGTCTCCTGCTAGTCTTGTCTCGCCTACTGCTGTGCCGCCGTCTCTCTCTTTTGTCTCCAGAGCTTCTCCTTAGCCTACTTGAGTATCTGTGCCTTTTGGTTTGTCTCCCGCCGCTGCTACGCCTGTCTATAGATGAGCTAGAGCTTCTGTGTCTCCGTCTCCGGCTTCCTCGTGTGTCCCGGCCTCTGCGGTCTGGCGTACGGCTCCGGCTGCGGCTAAGGCTGCGGCTTCGGTGCGAGTGCTTCAGCCTAGAGTGCTTACGGCGCCTCGTGGTTCTGTGGTGGCGGTCAACGCTGCTTGCACTGCTGTCGCTTCTACTTCTGCTGCTGCTGCTGCGACCCCTTCTGCTTCTGTGTCTGCTGTGATGCCCTCTCTTACGATGCCTGCTGCTGGCTCTCCTCCGCCTGACACTCCTACTCCTACTCCTGCTTCTGCTGTAACTATAGTGCCGCCTGCGTCCCCTATAATACCTGTCGTCAGGGCTCCTCCCTCTGTCTCGGCTCCTAAAGCGCCTTCGCAAGACTGACGGCGTCGAACGAGACCTCCTCCTCGGCTCAGGACTCCGATCATAACCGCGCTTCCGGTCACTGCAGAGGACAAAAGCCTTCCGCAAAATTACACGTTTCACACGAAACAAATAATGAAGAGTGTTTGCATGGCAAGACGGAAAATCCCGTAGTTCAAATCCTGCAGGGCACTGCAGGGCAGGCTACGATAAGATGCCCACCTCCACAATATTGTTAATACCACTAACTCACGAATTGACCCAGCTGCGCCGCCGCACACACTGAAGCTACAAACTTTTCATATAATGGTTCACCCAGACGTATGACGTATGCAATGCGAATACTGTGTGTACTCATGCGCTTGTCTCATTGGTGGTTACTGCTAGCCGGCCGTCACTGAGCAGCGCCATCACTGAACAGCACCTTGCTGCTTTGATGCAAACTCTGCAACCACTACAATGAATGTTCTTTGACACGGATCTTTACAAAGGAATCATCAGTCTACGACCGCGTTAGTCCACGAAGAATGCTTCTTGGCCAAAACCAGGCCACGGTCTTCGCCTTACTGTGCTTTTTCTGCTTTCAATTGGTTTCGTTTCGATTGATTACACGTGGAAATATGATAGCCCACGTACATTGCTTTTGCTGGCCTGTTTTCTTATTGGGTAGAGTAAGTTTTATAGGTTCTGTTCGTCAGCAGAGCTGCGGTGCAGAAGCACCAAGTACTGCGGTTGACGGCGCAGTACTGTCCATTTCCGGTTTCTTACTTCGTTCGCTCAGTTATTTTGTATCGCAACATTGTGAAGGTTCGCTGTGACTGCATATGAGGGATGGATGGAAGAAACACTGTTGCATGCTTCCTTGATGCAAATGCTGTGGTATGTTTGCTTCTTGCTACTCACAAGTCGTCATCTCTCCTCTCGTACATGACGCGCTGCGGCACAATAACAGAAGAGCAAGCAGAAATAAACTTTCCATCCCGATTCTACAAAGGCCAAGCCTTTCCCCCTGCGTCCGCGCTATTTGTCATCGGCACGTTCACGTGCTAGTGAATAAACCCACAATCAAGCAGACGTAAGCTCAGCGTAGTGTACACCCAATTATCGCACTCTTGCTCCAAACTACGCAGTTACACCAAAAGATATAGTGCAGCACGAAGAAAATACTTCAATCGTCAATATACCATTTGGTCCGGCGTCTTAGGGTCGCTGTTGGCCAATTGCACAGTGACTCGGTAACCCATAAACATTTGGTTATTCAGCTCTTTCACCGCCTTGTCCCCGTCTTCCTCCTTTTCGAAATCGAAAAAGCAGTAAGACCTGAAGCATACAGCAGGCATAAAAACAAAGTAAAGACCATACTGGGCACATTGGAGACTCCACGCATATTCCGCCCTTCACTGAGCTCAAGCACTCAATTCTCGTCTAATGTTGCAAAAGAGCATTTCGATTGAATCAGTGCGTCTTTTTCGCGCTGAGAGAAGTTTAACTTGCCTTGGGGTGCGTTCGAGGTGATGGACCGGGAGATACATTTCCTTTACTGGCCCAACTTTTGACAAGAAGTTTCGTACATCGTTGGGAGTAGCCCCAGATGCGACACCTCTCATCATGTAGGGAAACCTGCGCATGGATCTGGCGGTTTTGGCATTTTCAATCAGCCACAGCTCCCCTGCACGAGTGGGGGAAACTCGGTCTGCCATGGGAGTGGTGTTATTGGGCGACCGATTCCCAGGAGTTCCTGGGGGAGTAAGGGAGCTTGCCCTGCTCCGAGACACAGATACCGACATCCCGCGCCCCTGGGGCAGTAGCTTGGTTGAGAATTGCATCAGAAATCTGTGTTAAACCAGTCTCTCACCCCTAACCACAAGTTTCGGGAGGGGAGAGAAGACCCGCGCGAGAAGAACGGGAGACAATGGGTTAGAAAAAGCGAAGCCAGGGTGCTGGCTGGATCACGACAGCCAGATCACCTTGATGGGTTTGAATACAAGGTGGAGGAGTCCGGGAGGCACGGGCCGGAGGCCTCTGCCCTCCGTTACCACTGCTTAAACTCAAAACAAAAATCAACGGCCCTTGGAATAGTATATATAAAGGAACGAACCTAACGTCAAGTCTGCATTACAATAAGAAGATGAGCAGCTCAGCGGCATCCTGATGAGCCTTGAAGCCTAGTACCGAACAGCCCCGCGCCACCCGTTGCATGCAGCTCCAAGATATTTCAGTTTATTACACTTTCACAAAAGCAGCACGGAACTAAAGTCAAGATAAATGTTGTTTCTTTAGTTTCATTTCGCTTGGCCTCTCGTCCGCAGCTGTAGTTGCAACTTCTGCCTACGTGTATGCGCGCAGTTCAGCCAGCTAGCGACTCAGTTTGACAGCACTGGAGTGAGACACCAGAGGGTTGCAACGCTTCACCTTTTCTACTTCGCCTTTGAAGTTGTAGTATTTCTGCCTGGTCTAGCACGTGTTGCTGACTTTACTGAGCTATTCCTGATTGAGCAGCACGATTGGGTAGTACTGCTGAAGTGGAGGTTGCCATGACTGCTGCAGCTTCTTCTGGAAAGGCCATAACTTACCCTGCATTTTGGCGTGCTGAAAGGGTGTAAATGTGATGCAGGGTGATTTTGCTCGTGCTTTCCTGTTTATTGGGCCTACCCATTCCAGGTTTTCCGTGAGAGGGAACCCCTGGGAGTAACCAGCCTTGAGGGCTCTAATTCAGTGCGTCAGCACTGGAATGCAGGGAAATATTTTTTGCATGTACAAAATTACGGGACAGTGCCAAAACAACGTTGAAGGATTCCATCAGGCCCTACCCTGCGTATTTATCATAGGTAAGGCATCAGGAAAGGTCCAAGGAATTCCTTCGCAAATACATGCCGCGAAGCGTAAAACCGAAAAATCCATGTCAGGAAAAGGCACAGGGATATGTGAGGGCCTCAATGAGGCAGTCTCATCAGGGAATCTGGAGCTCCACCGCCACCCTGTGCATCAATCTTAAACAGTATAATCATCGTTTTGTGGAAAACTCAAGCAACAGAAATACTTGTATAAATATTCAAGATGGGCATAGTTTTACTGTCGGGCGCTGCCTACTACTAGGTTTCCTCGCCAGGGGTTGCCTGTGCGCCTTGAGCACTGCCCCGTGCTCGAGTGTCTGTGTGGCCTTACCTGACCAAAATTTATCCATGAATGACAATTTTGTTTCTCTAGCTTAATTTTGACTGGCGCGCTCCTACCTCGCCTTGCCTCCATCGTGCCACTACGGGGGGGTGAACTGCGCTTTCGCATTCTATAGGTAACTTTGCTCCGTATATACACTTATGTGGCTCACTTTTAAAATGTACAAGCCAAGCTACAGTTGTTCCTAGCAGCTGTAACACTTATCTCTACTGGGACGGGCCACAGGAGGCCTCGGTCCTGTTCGTCACGACACTACGCCAGGGAGCCTTGTTCGCGTTGTGACCAACAAAGCGCCAGTGCCATGCAGCTGCTCCTAGGTTTAGTCTTGCAACTTCTTGTACCGACTAGTCATATTTCGGAAAAGGGTGCATTGAGGAGCAGACAGGCCACTTGAAACGTCGTTTTCCAGTTAGCGCCTTGCCCACTTCTTTTGGATCTCAGTTTGTATGCAGCAGCAAGTCTTACGCATTTTAAATTTACAATGTGAGCTTTGCACTTCGCCGGCGGACATCATCATCTGCGTTGTTATATTTTACTCCTCTAGCTCCTACTTTACGCTACAGAGTGTGGCCACCAATGGTATCAAACGATGCATACTTAAGAATTTACCAAGTCACTCAATTTTAAATTTTCGAGTTTTCGGAACATTAGTAGATGTTGTTTGCTGGCGGTGCTCGCAGTTCATTTGCCAACTTCCCACCGCTGTAAGTGCCAGGCTTTAACCTTGGTACTCTTGCGGATTAGATGCTGAGATTGAAAATCTAATTAAGATAATGCTGCTTAAAATGGCCTATGTTGAATTCAATGACGCAACCTGTACAAATGCTGAAAACTTTTACATCGTGATACTTCCGTTGTGAGTGTGAAATATCTGTAGGTGCAAGTGAGAGTACACCGCGGCTTTTTGCGGACAATTTCCTCCACCTTCAAAACTGGATTTATCAACATAAAAAACAAATGAACAAAAACCAAGGACTAGTATGTGAATGGGAGCGCGCGCTTCTTGCAAGTTGACGCCCGAGCTGGTCAGTAACCTGTATCGAACTAAACCTTGCTTGGCATCTATACATCACGAGATGCTCCTCCACGCTCCTTGGAGAATTCGGGAGCTACAACTGTTCTGAAGGCTCATGAAGAAAACTAGTTGATGGAAGAAATCCGGATAGGCAGAGTTTATAGCGCGGAGCTTTGAAGTGGCCTAAGGGCTACAGAAAGTTAACTGAAAATGAATGGCTCATAGTAATGCCATGGTCTGTGAAGCCGTCGTCTGACTGTACAGGTACCAGGCAAATTAGAAGAACAGTAACTCGCTGTCCAACTTAAAGCAGCCAATTCTGTGCAAGCTCTGGATAGGACCTCAGGTTGTGAAGTCCAGCGAAGATACCTGGCGAGGTCCTTAAAGGGAAGATGAAACCTGAAAAGGCAAGGAAAACATCAGTCTGACTAACTACCTCTTCCAAACACATTTGGGTAACGGAGCGGAATGCGCCGAGTCCTCTTCGAGGCTATAGTGGGGCAGCGCCGGGTACCCACTAAGTTACGCTGTATTCAGCTCATTCTGCCTCCAATTATGAAGCTCGTAGCTCGCATCCTGCTATGGCGAGCCGGTTCAGCCCTTGCAAGTGTGCACCTCGTTATCCCTAGCCTAATTTCTGGTGCATTGCCTTCTAATACCACGTTGGAGCAAGCCTTAGCGGACTCCCTGAAACTTCTTTGAAAGGTGTCGCCTCTCCTGATAGTAACATTTCGTGTTCCATAGAATCACAGTAACATTTCGTCTTCCATACAATCACACAGCATTCAACAGCCAGCCCACCCTCCTGGTGTCCGCCAGAGTGGCTGTAACCGACGACGGAGTATACATGCAGGCAAGCAATACGTTATTTCCTGCATCCTTTACCTATTTGCTTCATGACTTTTGGTTGAAGATATCACTTCAGTAATTGATATCTGGGTGAAGCACCCAGGGTTTTGCCGGGCTGGTGTTGCTGTGACCGAATGCGCATGCAGGAGCTCGCCGTACCGCTGCTGCAACTGTGACACTCTTACAAGCACACATCTGCATAACTTCTTCCTTAGTGAGAAAATGGTCAGTGGACTTATGAATCAGCCCACCGGGTTTGCTGAAGTTGAAGGTGTGCGCCTTCTCCAGAACTCAGGCAACACGTTCCGACGCAGGGAGAATACTCTTATGAATCATTCCATAGGGGGCGAAACTGCCCGTATTCGATGCAAGGGTGTCCCGTGCTTTTGCTTGACCCCGCTATTGAGTGCGGTCTCACAATTCGGGAAGCACGACGCCACCTCAAACGCTGCACGCATGAGAAGGTTGGCATGACTGCAGACCAGGGCCCATATGCGCTCACTTTCGCAAGGGAGCAGCGAGTTGCTCGACTTGCACGTGGGTTCATAGATCCAGCCCACGGAAGTGCCAGCGCTGGGTAGCACGCTGCAATTGGGATGCGCCGAGTGGTGCTATTCAAAGCAATCCTTAAGCAGGTGCATGCTGGCCAGCGTGGCTATACTACTCGAGACTGCCTGTGATTTTCTCAGATTTAGGACAATGGCAGGCACACCACCAGGGGAAAATATCTCAGAGTTGTACCCCCAGTGCGTGTCTTTAAGAAAGGAACTAGACTCCCTTCTTCGTTCGGTGTCAACTCCTACGGTTTCGCATGGAATGACAGCCTCATCAGCTAAGGGCGTGGAATGTAGCAGCAGCGGAGTGTCGGCATCGTTTGTTGGATGGGATGGACGGGGAAGCTGCTGTACTTCTGTGGCAAAGCTGCAACGGTTCTCAGCGCTGACGCGTCAGTTCTGCATGCTCGTCATTCGACTTCAAGATGCACTTGAGAGAGCGAAGTCGACTCAGATGTCGCGGAATATGTACTCTATGTGGGAAAGAAGAGTTCAAGACATGGCTGCAGACGCAGAGAGCTTCAGCAGAGAAGCTGAAAGCCGTGTGAGCTTTGAGCAGCAGCGAGTTCAAGACGCTATTCGTGACCGCAAATTGCTACTGGGCGAGGCTGAAAACAATAAGAGATGGGGTGATGTGCGCAATGCGGAGCTAATGTATGCGAAGGAGAGAGACCGCCTACAAGATTCCCGCACAGTGCTAGATTCAGTACTTAGCCAAGGCTGGGGCATAGTAGGACAACTTGTCTCTCAAAACGCGTCACTCAAAAGCGCAAGAAGAAAAGTGCTCGATATGGCTAGCAGTGCGGGCGTCGCCTCCACACTGTTGGGTGCAGTTGGCCGAAGACAGCAGGGAGACAAATGGCTTGTATATGGTGGAATGGTCATGACTCTCATCTTTTTTTTCGTAGTGTATAGGCTATTTCATCATGGCAGCATATTCGTTTTCTCCAGCAGTGTGGGCAAGGCAGAGGACGGTACAAGTTTCGATGACTTGACTCAGGCTGAATAGGAACTGGTCCATTTTTTTATCTCGCCGTGCTACGTATTCGGTCTTTGGGTGGCGTGAAGCTAGCAGCCACGCATGCAGACTTACTGAGGAGAACTTGCACTTGCATCTCCCCAGTTTTGAATTTGTTGATTTTTTTTAGAATTGGTCACTAGTTGCGCACCGAGAGTTGTTCGATGAGCAGTGCCGGAAGTTTATGTTAAATGGTCAAACCCAGACACAAAAGGGGGAGCTGCATCGCGTGCACGTTGCTTCGAGCCTTCAACAGAGGGGATACGCAGAGCAACCTAATCGTAGTTGTAACTTATTTATTTTATACTCCTGGGACGAACGTAAATATTGAAGTATTCTGGCTGCCACCGGAGGGGAAATGTGCGATGCTTGTTCTTCCCGCTTTGCTCGGGCGTGTCAGCCAAGCAGAATGCTTCGACCCGTAGGAACAGAGCATCAAATTGCTACAAAGTAAATGCAGAGATGGCTGCTCGTTCTACGTGCGCGAGAGTTAAGCGAAAGCACTTTACTGCCCAGGCAGGACAACCGCCGAAAGGCAGAGGTGACACTGCCTTACCACTTGGAAAAATGCGCTCTCAAGGAAAATACGGGAAATGTCTTTGTCTGGATTCAACGTGAAGTACAGAAGGCGCCATTCGATGGGAACACCCGCTGTTTTCATTCATTGTCGCTGGGCTTAACCACGACTCTCATCTCCATATTGGAGGAGCCAGATCTTCCGGTGGTCTACGCAGCATGCTTCTTAGGTCAGGAATATATGCTGTCAGTTCCTTCTGACTCCTTAGAGACGGCTGCACAGGAGGAAAACTTGTAGAGTGTCGGGCGGCTGACCCAACATTTGACGGCAGGCAGCGAGCGATGTGTGACGCTTACAAGAAGTCTTCATCTGCGCCATGCCTCTAAAGTAACGTGAATGTTTTATAATACACAGGGCTTATCACTCACTGCCAGGATTTGTTTAGAGAGCATGCGGTGTTCGATCACGCGTAGACACTGGTACAAAGGTGCATCCCCTCGCTAGCGGGAGTTCTGCGTATTAAAGATGCCCCTCCCGCTGAAATGAAATGCAGGTGGCCTCGAACTGCAAGCACACAATCACCTAAAGCATATGGATGCATGCTTCTCTTTTCAGTTGGAAGTGTAGCTGTTTGGCTCTTCCGGGTGAAATCACCAGGTCTCTTCCCATGAGCCAGTTTCTCTGCTTATGGGGAGTAAAATACAGACAAATAAGTGGTTTTCTCTAATAGTGTAGTTTGGTCATGCTGATAACTAGATAATGAGGGGTTTCAGAGAACTTTCGAATTGCTGTCTGGCGATCACCATCAGCGCCAAGGGGCGGTTGCGGCGCGGTGACCCCACAGTACTTAGTTGCCGAACATGCATGCATTATTCAGTGTCTAATTTTTTTTAACGAGTTTAAACGGTACGGCTAATGAGTTTTTCGGAAGTGAGTTGCGACAAAATCTGCCTCATTTCTCCCCGAATTCTCATCGTAATCCCCCGTGCGCGGTCTTCCGGTTGAGTGAATGGGTAACATCAAAGTGACTCCCCAGTCAGAGAATTTTCGCAGCACCTGCTGAGCGCTAAAGTGACTGTAGAGATGGTCATGGCTTGGATAATAAGTGGCCGTAGCCGACAACTGCAACGAATGGCCCCTGGCATCTGGTCGCTGACTCTCTGCTTGGCTGTTCTTGGACGGCATATGCTTAGCACGGCCCTGCAAGATGACGCACGCATAACAGAGTCATTTTCATTCCATAGATTTAGCAGCAAAGATTCTTCTGGCTCTAGGCATGGCAATACAGCACCGTATTCTGATCACGACGACCTGACCAGAAGATCCAATGGCCCTCTTCAGGACATATTTGAGGAACCTGAGCATCCACCTGGCGTCATTGTCCGTCCTGAAAACAGAAACAGACATATTATGACGTTGTCATCTTCTAAAGCACCAACAACATCTCCTGAAGGACCACCAGCCCGGCGGAGAAGTCTCCGGTTTGGTGAGCATTCAGATTTGGTGAGGGCGCGCACATTATCGCAAACTGAAACGGAAAAAGGCCAGATCGAGAGACCTTTTGCAGTCTTAAATGCTAACAATGGAAAAGGTGAAAGAGAGAACCCCAACGTATCGGTGGCTTCTTCTCCTCGGCAAGATAAAATGGATTATCGAGCGGCGGCACCTTTAAGCAGCATTTACGAGAACGAGAGCGATTTTTACGGCCCAGATGACGCTGATGTAGACAAGAATGAAAAGGAACACGAAGAACTCACTGACGAAAGCGCGGAGACGAGGATAGCACGTGAAGAGACACGCACGATCACTGAAGTCGTTGGCAGTATATCCATACCTTCTCCCTTGGCTCATAGCCTATTGTATCGGACAAGAGATATTTCCAACCCCCTGAATTTTGCAAACTTCCTGGCAGAAGGTCAGGAGTGGCTCATCCCAGGTGCAGGAAGTCTTTGGGAAGGTCTTGGGCGTCACGTAGACTCACTTTTCTCTGGGCTTTTCTTAAGAACTGCCAGTATTCTACCAAATTATCAGCGTAATGTGATTATATGCTACAAGGAGTACAAGCCATCCATGTGGATAGAAATGCTAGGCCAGAGAAATCGATTTCTTCGCCAGCTCGCTTCTTTGTTTCAAGGTACGCATCGCATGCAGTCCGTCTATCTCCGCAACCTCGGCATGGAAATATTTGAAGTTCCCCCGTTGTGGCGCGTTCGTGAGTTTATCTCAACCGTGCTGAAGCTGAAGAATTACGTGAGCCACGTATACACTGACCAATTGGTCAGCGACTTTGACGACGAGACCCAAGTACCTCTACCAGGAGACGCTGCAGTAGGAGAAGTAGCTGCGGAGCCTTTGGATCTTCGCCGCCTTGATGCCATCAAAAGTGGGCAGCATCGCATGGCCAGTATAAACAGGGCCCCGAGTCGCCGGCTGGAGGTCATGACAAACGATCCCTTCACTTGGCAACAGTGGGCTATCGTAGACAGTGGCCCTACGAGGTGGGGTATTGAGGCGCCGAACGCATGGGAAGTCTGGACAGGTACAATATTCCACTTGCGAAAAGCAGTCTTAGGGGTGTTTATGTAAGGGCGGTTTTACGCCACACTACGGTCACCACAAGAGAATAGTTTGACAATAGTGTGTACATTTTGGGCGTATGCGGCTTTCATCAGGCCAGGGACAAAAGCCAAGATTTACAGTTGCCGTAATAGATAGCGGTGTTGATTATGAACACCCGGACTTAAAGAATCAGATATGGCGGAACCCTGATGAGATCTGTGGCAACGGCATAGATGATGACTTTAATGGATTCGTGGATGATTGCATAGGCTGGGTGGGCTGCAATTTTTCCGTAGTCCTATGTTTTCTTCTGTACATCGAAGCTGCGAAATTGAGGCACTATATCATCGAAAAGTGTTTCAAGGATTCTGTGAAGTGTTTAACTGCACATTGTGCTTTTGTGCTGGTCCAGGACTTTGTAAAGGGGACAAACTTACCAATGGATGACAATGGCCACGGTACTGCTTCTGCTGGAATCATTGCAGCTGAGCCGAATAATGGCATAGGTCTTACTGGGGTCTGCTGGGGGTGTGATATCTTAGTACTGAAGGCACTGAATGAGGATATAAAGGGAACCATAAGCGCATTTGCGAGGTCTTTGGATTACGCTATTGGAAAAGGGATAATGCTGTCAAATAACAGCTACGGGGGTAGGGGTAGTGGTTTCAGAGGCCTTCAAGAAGCCGTTCAACGAGCGCGACAGGCAGGAATGATTGTCGTCGCCGCTGCAGGAAACTACAATGGAAATAATGACAACGACAAGTGAAGCGATATGCATTGAAGGCAACCCTACTTACCATGTGTTGAGTCTCAGCTGCTCCTTTTGTGGAGAACTGTGAAGAACTGTTAAACATAACGCGCTATTTCGGGCCCCGTCCCTTGTATAAACTCGTTTGGTGTTTAGTGCGCTGGTTCTTGTGCAGGCAACCTGTATTTCCAGCATCCTATGATCTTGATAATGTCGTTTCCGTGGCAGCAATAAGTCGCAACGGGCAGCTTGCGCCATTCAGCAGTTATGGGAAGAAGCAAGTCGACGTCGCTGCTCCGGGTGCCAACATCATGACAACGTCGGCCCGAAGGAGCTACAGGTCTGTCAGCGGAACAAGCTTTGCTGTACCCATGGTGACAGGCACGCTTGCACTGCTGTGGACGCGTCTTCCGCAACTAAACTACCGCCAGGTCATTCAACGGATGCTACGAAGCGTGAAGAAGAACCCTCAGCTTGAAGGTATGCCCAAAATGACCTATTTCTTACAAAATCGTAGCTTTCCGACAGAGATTCTCTGATTTTAACTTAAATCGTTCGCAGACTTTAATTTAATACAAAAGCAAAACAAGGCACTTGCGCAACAAATGTGGGCAGCACTACTTTTCTGTTCGATGGTGGGCAAGCGTTGGCTGACCCCAGACAGCTCAGCCACTTGATTCTTTTTTTTTGTTTGACTGCAGGATTGATCGCAACTGGAGGCACCGTTGACGCGTGGAGCACGCTAGTGAAAGAAGACTTAATAGACCCGTACGCCGCCCCTCCCGCTCTTCCCATGACATGTGCCTCAGCTTCTTGCAGCCAATACGCGACCTGTTCCGATGCGCAGGGAACAGCGAAGTGTGTATGCAATCGTGGGTTCGAAGGAGACGGAAAATTTTGCAAGGATATCGACGAATGTATTTTCAGTCCATGTGGGCCTGCCTCCGTGTGCGTTAACACAGTCGGCAGCTATCAGTGCAAGTGCCGAAAAGGATTCCAGCAGACGCAGGAAGCATGTATAGACATCGACGAATGCAGCCTCGGGATGCAAAGATTGATTCCACCTCCATGCCCGGCACAAGCCCGATGTCACAACTTCAGCGGGACGTTTGACTGCATTTGCCCAGGGGAAACAGCATGGAACGGTATTTCAGGATCTGCGGCTCA